CCCTCATTGTAGAGGGGCCAGGAATGTCCTGAGATATGGGGGGCGGGAACTGAAGATTTGCAGCCAAGCAGAGGTCAGCAACCCTTTCCAATGTGTACTTGAGAGCTGTGCCACTTTCTGGTTGGTCAAGATACGCAGCAATTATAATTGTAAATACTACAGGAGCAATTCTAAGATCTTTTCATGGTGGCTGCACGGTACCACTCAATACTAGTGCAGTCATAGGTGCAAACGTGATTCACAAGATATACTCAGAGACTGCAAATAGGCATCCACAGCGATAGAGGCATGCTGACCAGCTGGGGGCTTTCCAAGGTCCTCGCCACAAAACAACCACTGTTCTTTTTCTGTAGTTTTTGCTCGTTCCTTGAGACGCTGGCACTCCGAGGGGCGCCTCCAGTCTAGAGCTGTTGGGAGCGCCAGGGCTAGTGACAGGGCTGCTCTGAGGCAGATTGTCTACTGCCCTGGACTAGCAACAAGGTCCATCTGGGGCACAAGACTGGGCTACCGTCTGGTTCATCATGTGCCACCACCGCCCTACGGCTCAGCCGCAGCCATAGCCGCACTCTACAAACTGAGCACAGCTGCGCCCCAAAGGCAGCATCAGGCCCCGTGGAACCGCGGCTATTGCTAGAGTCCAAACCCCACAGCTGCACCTGTGCTCAAGGTGGGACCAACACCAGCGCTCAGTGTTGCCATGTCTTAAATATGAAATTCTCATATTGGAAGCTCAAAATGATCGCATTTGCTGAAAAACTACTGTACACAAAATTGATGCAAACACGCATGAAAATAAGTATGCAGATAAGTCTTATTTACTTTATACTGCTCACTATAACTCGCCAGTGAGAGTGAGAACTGGGTCGAAGCTGAAGCACTGCTTTACTTGGAGGTGAGCAGTCCCTCGTAAGGAAGTGTTGCCTGACAGCAAACCTGCAAGTCTGGTAAGCTTCTCTGAGAGTGACTAGGATTTTGCATCTGCTGCATCAGTGCGCTGCCTCCAAAATGACCGAACACTTTGAACCCTTTTACTACTGTTGACCACAAATCCTACAAGGGTGGAAATGACGATACAAATACGATAATTATCGTGCACCCAGCAACGCTGTTGGCG